AACGCATTGACAATAGTACAAACCCATGGTAAATACTTTGCGATGGCGAAGGTCGGATGTATTACCAAGTTTTCTCTACTGCAGTTCGACGGGGTCAGCAAGTACCATGAATAGCATAGAACAATGCCTGACCCAAGAGGGTGGTCGAAGATGCAACAAAAGCGGCTTCTGCAATCACCGATTTCTCTGGATTCCAACAGACCAAATGTGGCAAAAAAGCCGGCATCGAATTTCGCACGGCTGTCATATGGATCTGATTGGGTTATTTACAGTGTGATTATACAATCGGAATATGGAGTTGCTTGGGTTCGGCGAGGGCATGACAATACCGTTGTTACGCCACCCTGTTTGTGAGCAGAAATAATGACTGCAAACTATCTGTCTTGCCTGTGGGGAATGAACCTTGACCAACTTTGTGAATTCATTTTCACGAATGCTTTTTTTATTTTTGTGTTGTAATTCAATATTTTCGAAATGCAGTGAAAGATGTTTTCATCTGTCTCCACATCAATCTATATATGTGTGCATGAACACTTCTGAACACTCACTGAAACGTGCAATCAACATTGATTCTGAGGAGAGCTGTCAAGGTGATATTTCGAAAGGTATTTTTGATGTGACACTACGTAAAATCACACATGCACTTTGCAAGGACAAAAACAACAATAAACACAATAGTGTTCCCGAGCCCTCGACAGAGCTATACATACGCTCCGTTATCGGTATAGACCAAAATAAGCGTGTATACCATTCGATTTGTATCCTAGGTTACAATAATAACTTTCTGAATTTGACAATAAGATTTGTCATGTGCTATACTAAAAATATTCGTAGATCACTAAAAACCTTAGTAAAGTCTAGAGAGACAATGGGGTGATCGATAATTTGATCAATGAAAAGATTGCATTCACTTCGAATAATGACAGAGGAGTGGGGAATTGAAGCACACCAGAATAATTTGTACTTCGATCTTCTACAACAATAACATATTAGCTAATATCTGGAAGAATGCTAACTCCGTTATCACTTCATTCTCTGGTTACAAAGAAGTCGATGCTGAAACAGCGACAATCATTTTACAACGGTTTGTAATGCACTGGACAAATCGGGAGACGCTGAATTTAAGTCTGTCATGTTCTAATGTCGTAAGATTTGTAAGTATGTGAACAATGGAACTGTTAAACCTCAACGACTTTTTAGCATTAGTC